AGTGACTATCATCAATAAATCAACAAACCAGGATACGGGGAAAAGGGAGCCCATGTGCACTTATGGTAGAAATGCAGGTTGGTGCAGCCACTATGGAAAACAGTGCTTGTGTGTGTGTGTGGGGGGTGTCCTAAAAAAATTAAAATTAGATGGGCCTTATAACTCAGTGACTCCATGTATGTGCATATATACAAAGAAAACAAAAACACTAATTTGAAGAATATATGTACCTCTATGTTAATTGCAGCATTGTTTACAGTAGCTAAGCTATGGAAACAACCCAAGTGTCCATCAATAGACAAGTAGATAAAAAAAGTGATGGTACATATACACAGTGGAATATTACTCAGCCATGAAAAGAGTAAAATCTTATCACTTGTGATATCATGGATGTACCTAGAGCAGTGGTTCTCAACCTGTGTGTTGAGAACCCTTTGGGGGTCGAATGACTCTTTCACTGGGGCTGCCTAAGACCATCCTGCATATCAGATATTTACATTACAATTCATAACAGTAGCAAAATTACAGTTATGAAGTAGCAATGAAAATAATTTTATGATTGGGGGTCACAACATGAGGAACTGTATTTAAAGGGCCAGAAGGTTGAGAACCACTGACCTAGAGGGTATTTTGCTAAGTGAAATAAGTCAGTCAGAGAAAGACAGATGTCATTTGATTTCACTTATATGTGGAATTTTAAAAAACCAAAATAAACTAAATTGAAACAGACTCATAGATACAGAGAAAAAACTCTTTGTTGTGGGGGGAAGGAGTGCTATGGGGCTGAGTGAAAAAGGTGAAGGAGTTAAGAAGTACAACGTGGTGGTTACAAACAGTCACAGGGATTTAAAGTAAAGCATAGGGAATATAGTCAATAATATTGTAATAACTATATTACAAGGGGGAACTGGAAATATCAGGGGAACACTCTATAAAGTATATGATTGTCTAAGCACTATGCTATACACCTGAAACTAATATTAATATTGAATGTACACTGTGATTGAAAAAAGAAAATTTAAATTTAAAAAACTTAAGAAAGAAAAAATAGATTTAAATAGTAACATTAAAAAATTGAGGATGTCAACTGTTACATGGAGTATGATATATGTATGTTAAAATAGTAATAATATAAATTGAAAACCACCTCAACACCATCAACATTGGGAATAGGAGACCAATTACAATATGCCTATACAATGCAGTACAAGGAATACTACAGTGTTAATTTCTATGGTTTCATACATATGTCAATATATAAGTGGAAGCATGAAATTATACATAGTAAAATATAAATAGGAGTGATTTGGGGGAGCTGGGTGGCTGTGGAAATCCAAGGCGGTGATGATTAATGGTGCCTTTTGCCTTAGCAGCTATGTTTTAAAGTTTAACAAGTAGAAGATACTCAGGTATTACTTTTGTAACTAATTACTAATTTAAAGGACACACCACATGTGGGGTTGAGGGAACAAAAAGAGATAAACCAAAGAATTTATACGCTTATATGCATAACCTATGGACATGGGAAATAGGGTGATGAAGATCTGGGAGGGTGAGTAGGGCCTGGCAGGAGGGGTGAAAGAGGGAAAAATGGGAAATTTCTGTAATACTATCAATAATAAAAAAATATATTTAAAAAAGATAAGGAGATTTGATATATTAAATCAAATTTAAAAGATAACTTCTAATTTCAACTTTATTACTACAATCTTGAAAACATCATTTAAGTCAGCCCTTTTCTGTACAAAAGGAAGTAGCCGCATTTCTTCATTATTAACTACTAGGGGCCCGGTGCACAAATTCGTGCACCGGTGGGGTCCCTCGGCCTGGCCTGCAGGATCAGGCCAAAACTGGCTCTCCAACATCCCCTGAGGAGTCCCGGAGTGCGAGAGGGTGCAGGCCAGGCCGAGGGAACCCAACGGTGGACGATCGGGGCCGGGGAGGGACGCAGGAGGGCTCCAGATGTGTTCAGCCCATCTTGCTCAGTCCTGATCGGCTGGGCCCCAGCAGCAAGCTAACCTACCGCTCAGAGCATCTGACCCCTGGTGGTCAGTGCATCTCATA